GTTTAGGGTTTAGGTTGGGATGTTCCCCCTTATTCGAACAGTCCTTTATAGGGATTATAGTACCCCCCCCCCCCCTACTATATTCCCTATCAAGGACTGTTGGTATAAGGGGGAACATCACAAGGTTTAGGGTTTAGAGTGCCTCTAGATATGGGGTGGATACGGGGGGTTACGAAATCGGGGGTACCTTATTGGGATCTTTATTATCAGGGAGACGACGACGTCGACGACGACGACGAGGACGAGGACGTGGACGTGGGCGTGGACGTGGTAGCATGCACAGAAAAAGCCAACAAACCAACATCCAACACAAGCACTCTTAGCTGACACAGCTCAATCCTGAACCCTATAAGGGACCCCCCCCCCCCTAAACCCTAAACCATGAACCCTAAACCCGAGACCTTAAACCCTAAACCCTAAACCCGAGACCTTAAACACTACACCGAAGCCCAAACCCTTTTCTAACCCTAAACCTTAAACCCCCTAAGCAGCGCCTGGCGGATGACCCCCAGGCTTTGGTGAAAAGTACCTTGGGCCCATGTCTCTTGGTGCCGAATTATAACCCCATGAGGGTACTTCAAGGGGCCTACAAGTGGGTAGTATAGCTACACGTACAATTGGGTTAGAAGTGCCCCGAAGCTCCAAGTACGGGCCTCAGGTGCCGAAAGAGCTCAAAGTTGACTGGGAAGCCCAGCTACCACGATCTTCTTAGGGTACTTGGAGGTTCATGGTACTTCTTAACCAGTTCTGATTGTGCGAAAAACCCACTTCCGAGCCCCTTAAGTGCCCTAAGAAGGACATAACTGGGTTATAAGTGCAGTTCTACTTGGGTTCAGAAGTACCCTGAACCTCCAAGTATTCTTCTTACAGTAGTCTCATGGGCCCTTAGAAGGAACCCCTCATATACCCCCTATATACCCTAGACAACCGAAGGGCTCATACTTCACAACCGTTTGGTTTAGGGTTTAGGGTTTAGGGTTTAGGGTTTAGGGTTTAGGGTTTAGGGTTTAGGGTTTAGGGTTTAGGGTTTAGGGTTTAGGGTTTAGGGTTTAGGGTTTAGGGTTTAGGGTTTAGGGTTTAGGGTTTAGGAGGCAAGGGACCATGTTAAGGGCCCATATAACTACCCTTGGAGCTACCATATACTAGACCCAAGAGTAACCTTGCAATAAAAAGGGTATCCTTTTTTGTTTAACGGGGCATACCACACACAAAAGCATTTTTTTTTTTTTTTTTTTTGGGGGGGGGGGGGGTTTGGAGCTTTTTAAAGGAAGTTGCATGTAAAATCAGGCTAGGCCTTTGGGGTTCAGGTGGGGGGCAGCTTTCAAGCACACCTGGGATCAGCCCTGCCCGCCACAACCCTAATGACGACAAACCTCGGTTTAGGGTTTAGGGTTTAGGGTTTAGGGTTTAGGGTTTAGGGTTTAGGGTTTAGGGTTTAGGGTTTAGGGTTTAGGGTTTAGGGTCCGACTGCCCGTCTGCAGCAAAAGTAGCAACTCCGTGGCACAGTGCTGCAGGCCCTGTCCATTGCCCCGTGGGCTTTCACGCGGAGGCAGCCAGCCAGCATCTTCGAGCCGGCAGGACTTGGTTTAGGGTTTAGGGTTTAGGGTTTAGAATTTAGGGTTTAGGGGTTTCGATTCTAACAACTGTGCACTGGGTGAGAGGATTTTTTGCAGAAATCGACATTGCAGCATGAGACAACAATACGCGCAAACCATCACAGAATCATGCCCCCTCCCTTTCCTAAACTCCCTTCAAACATCTTTAAACCATATAAAACCCTGGAACGTTTAAAGAGAGCAAGAACCTGGACGCGTGTACCACGTTTGCCCCGCAAATGTTCGTGCGGGCGCGTTGTTAGCCGAACGTTGGGGTTGTTTGGGTGTGGTTGTGCTTCGTTGGTTCATCAGGCGGAGCTAGGAATAACATGGCAGGCGCAGTGATTTTGAGTGTTTGCGAAGAAGTGTACGTTGTAGAGACACAGCGTTGTGTGCTATCCTTCTTGATTGGATGTGGCAGATTGATGACAAGCGTTGCGTGTTCCAAGTTAGGACTTGGACCACGCGGAACGCAGACGTCTCGAGCGAAACGGGGCGCCAATTTTCTGTTTTTTTGGGCTTAGGCTGCACATGATCGGGTGTGTTGGGTTTTAGGCTATAGGCTCTATATGTAGGCTTGAGGGCTAGGGTTTTTCAGTCAAGCAGGGTTGCTGTTCTCGAAGGGATCGGCGACCTAGAGATCACGACATGGATAGGATTCTAGCGTTTGCGGCACCTCCGAGCCGTCTTGGAACAGTCACAGGACAAATTCTTTCGGGCTTGGTGTTTTGTTGGGCGGTGCAGCCTGAAGTTTTGGCCCTAAACCCTAAGCTCTGCAGCCTAAAACCTGAAAACTATATAAACCCTTCTTTTTGCCTCCGGGCTGAACTCTAATGAAACCCTGAAACCCTAAACCCTAAACCCTAAACCCGAACCCTAAACCCCAAACCCCAAACCCCAAACCCTAAACCCTAAACCCCAACCCCAAGCCGCAGCCAGGTTGCAACATCTGAGTGCACACCCAATCCAAGTTGCCACACTTCATGGTGCAATTCTTGCTCTCCTGAGATTTGGGTTTAGGGTTTAGGGTATAGGGTACCCCAAACCCTGACCCTAAACCCTAAACCCTCTCCCTTGAAGTCTGGGATACGGTTCGGCTACTGCAGATGCCGAAATTTCAGGTGGGGCTGCTTGGTTGTTGGCGGCCACCAGCTGCGAACGCTCGAAACCTCCAAAAACTAGCAATCAACAGCTGCCAACCCCACTTCTTCTACACGCCTAGAAGGGGCCCTTAATCCTATGCCGCTTATTCCCCTATATGATCCCCTATATATACCTAATATATTCCTTTATACCTACGTAGCCCCTAAAGAACCCCTGAGGTCCCTTCTAAGGGTTCCTCTCTGAGTGGCCTGCTTTTCTCCCCGTAAAGATACCCTAAAGAACCCCGAAGGTCCCTCATAAGGGTCCCTCCTTTCGACCCTAAACCCTAAACCCTAAACCCTAAACCCTAAACCCTAAACCCTAAACCCTAAACCCTAAACCCTAAACCCCAAGCAAGATTCCCCTTGCATCGCATCGACGTAGGCGCGCCATGTTGAGCCTGAGCTTCTGAGCTGGAGTCATATGAGGTTTAGGGTTTAGGGTTGAGGGTTTAGGGTTTAGGGTCTAGGGTTTAGGGTTTAGGGCTGGGGTTTAGGGTTTAGGGTTTAGGGTTTAGGGTTTAGGGTTTAGGGTTTAGGGTTTAGGCTGGGGGTTTCCGATTTTTGTGGTACCATGTTTGGGTCCTGATTACCCATTGCATGTGGGTCTATTTAGGGTTTAGGGTTTAGGGTTTAGGGTTTAGGGTTTAGGGTTTAGGGTTTAGGGTTTAGGGTTTAGGTAACCCCCCATCTTCGGGGTTAGAAGGAAGTGATTGTTTTTACTTTTAATGAGGGGCCCGGGTTGAACCCTGCGAACGCTAAGCCCTAAACCCTAAACCCTTTTTAACCCATGCTCTCTGAGGTGCATAAGCCCTAAACCCCGGGGTTTCTAAATTCGGCATAGCCGTTTTACCCTAAACCCTAAACCCTAAACCCCTAAACCCCTAAACCCCTCAACCCCTAAACACTAAAAGGCCTCCCGAAAGCAAAAAGCAAGCTTTGCCACGAAGTAAGCAGCCCAGCAGCCTGCGACCTGCTCGAGTGCTCTCAAAAGCTTCTAGGGATTTAGGGCTTAGGGTTTAGGGTTTAGGGTTTGCTCTCATTTTTCGGTTTTGGCTCATGTCTACCTCCAAGTATCTCGAACCAGCAAAAATCCAGTCCGAAAACCCCAAGCCCTTTCTAGCCCTATCTGTTCTACATGCTGCCGAACGCGGGCGCGGGCAGTTTGGTCCCCTAAACCCTAAACACTAAACCCTAAACCCCAAACCTCCCCAAGGGCCTTGTGGAACTTCACGAAGAGGGAGTGCGTCTGGATTGCTGGTGCCCCACCGGGGCTGAGGTCCCCAAGCTGTAAGGCATGCCTTAGTTGCTGAGTTCATAAGCCCCAAAAAAAAGTGCACACTTTCAGTTCTATAGGGGAAACCCGAAACCCTAAACCCTAAACCCTGTTCTAGTATCCCAACAAAGTGTAAAGTGCACTCGTTCAGCTACTAAGATGCTGCAGGAAACTGACGTCGGCTGGGCTGGAAGCAGACTCCTGTTCAGGGTGTTCTGCAGGACTGGTGAGCTGTTTCTTTTGAGTTGAGGGTTTAGGGTTCAGGGTTTAGGGCTTAGCGTTGAGGGTTTAGGGTATAGGGGTTGTGAGTTTAGGTGAAGGTTGAGGTTCATGACTCATGACCTCCAGCGTTTGGCTCGTGGCACATTCACAGGCACTCCGATGTTACCTCTAGCTTTCTGCGCCGTGAGACGGGGTCCTCCTGGCAAGTCTGGCCATGACACAGCGCCGCGAGGGCGCTGAACAGCAGCGCGGGAAAGAACATGGAGGGCCAAGGTCGGGGTTAAGACCTTGCGAGTCGTTTGAGTAAGCGAAACGGCTGCGGGCGAAGCTCGAATTCTGGTGGCTTGGGCAAAGAACGCTTAGGCTGAGAACTTCAAGCCTCCAGCCCGAGGGTTTAGGGTTTAGGGTTTAGTGTTTAGGGTTTAGGGTCTGGGGTTTGGGGTTTAGGGTTTAGGGGTTTCGGGTTCGACCCGAATGAAACCAACCCTGAGGCATGAACCCTGCGTTTCAGCACCCGGCTTCATGGACCATGGCAGAAACCCAAAGCCTACTCTCTCAATTCGGGTTTAGGGCTGGCTCTCCTAAACGCAAGATAGGGGCCTTGATAGTTAGAACAGGGTTTGGGGGGGGGGGGGGTTCTTGTAGTATATTTAAACACTACGCTGCAACCCTAAACCCTGAACGATAAATCCTAAACCCTAAACCCTAAACCCTACTAAGCCCCAGCCCCCCCAACTCTTCAGGGCTTGGCTGCGTTCGAGGTGCGTTCGCAATTTTGTTGAAGCTGAGGTCCAGCTCCTTCACAGTCCACTTCCCACGGGGAGCGCAGGGGGCTGGGCTCCCTAGGTAGCGTCTGGGGCTATATGTGAATAGGGTTTAGGGGTTCATGTTTCGAGTTTAGGGTTTAGGGTTTAGCGTTCAAGTTCTAGTCACTAAGGTTGAGGGGTATACAGGGACGTTCAGTTCCTCTCCAAGATAGATCTGTAGCTCGGCCCCGCTAAGCCCTCTAAGAATAACATGGGCGCCCTTTGTTTGGTTTAGTTGGGTCTCATTCAGAAACCTCCTAAACCCTAAACCCTAAACCCTAAACCCTAAACCCTAAACCCTAAACCCTAAACCCTAAACCCTAAACCCTAAACCCTAAACCCTAAACCCTAAACCCTCATCGTTTTTCCTTCCTTTCGGCCTAGGAGGGAAAAGAGGCCAGGTCCCTTATGGAGAGGCTTCGGGGTCCAAAGCATCCTCTCCTCCTTGGCACCTTCAGGTCTGCGTTTAGGGTTTAGGGTTTAGGGTTTAGGGTTTAGGGTTTAGGGTTTAGGGCTTAGGGTTTAGGGCTTAGGAATTCGCGCCCTCTAAACCCTAAGCCCCAGAAACCCTAAGCCCGAAGCCCTAAACCCTGCACCCTAAGCCCTGAACCCCCAGATTCTATGGTTCCCCTGGTGTATGAGTCGTGTTCCGCTTTCGCTGCCCCCTTTGAGTCCTACATCCCAAGCCCTTTTGAACCCGGCCTCAAACCCGAAACTCCTAGGGTATGGTTACATGGTCGCTTAAAAGGGGACCCCTTTTTTACCCTTCTTCCCCCTTTTAAAACTAATGGCCCATACTTCAGAACCCTTTACAGAGGGCAAGGGTCGAAGGGCCCCTTGAACTACCCTTAGAGACCCAAAATCCTGAAATCCTGCAGGGGGCCAAGCGTGGGTTGTGGAAGTATCGGTTTAGGGTTTAGGGTTTAGGGTTTGGGGTTTAGGGTTTAGGGGTTAGGCACACCAAGCAGCGAACTCCGCAAGTCCTGAGCCCTAAGACCTTTTTAGGCCCCGAACCCAAAAGTCGAAATTCATACCCTTCCTTGAGCAGGGCCTGCAAGCAAAATCCCACCTTAAACCCTGAAACCCTGAAACCCTGAAACCCTGAAACCCTGAAACCCCCAAACCCCCAAACCCGGAAAACCTCAAAACCGAAACCCTGAAACCCCCTACACCCTAAACCCTAAACCCCCTACACCCCCTACACCCTAAACCCTAACATCAGCTCGCCTCCAGGCTCCCGCAGCGAGGAAGCTGTGCGGCGATGTGCTTGGCCTCTTCACAACCCATGTAGGGGTTTGGCAGCTTTTTTGTGGTCCTTATTAGGGTTTAGGGTTTAGGGTTTAGGGGTACCATGTTTGGAGGGTCCCTTTAAAGGGATTCTTTAGTCTATTTGGGGTACATCAGGGGGTAAGAAATACCCATTTTGTACTGAGGTTTTGAGTTCATGGAGCTCATAGATGTACAGGCTGCGGGGAGTAGGAGTAGGAGTGGGAGTAGGAGTGAGTGGGAGTGGGCGTGGGAGTTTGAGTTGGAGTAGGATAGGAGGAGTAGGAGTACGAGGAGGATAGGGGGAGGAGGAGAGTAGGAGTAGGGGTAAGGGAAGGAGTAGGAGTAGGAGTAGGAGTAGGAGTTGGTGTAGGAGTAGGATTAGGAGTAGGAGTAGTAGTAGTAGTAGTAGTAGTAGTAGTAGTAGTAGTAGTAGTAGTAGTAGTAGTAGTAGTCGTCGTAGTAGGAGCAGGAGGAGGGTAGGAGTAGTGGAAGTAGGAGTAGGCGTAGGTGTAGGAGTCGGAGTAGAAGTAGGAGGTAGGAGTACTAGGAGTAGGAGTAGGGAGAGGAGTAGGAGGAAGGGGAGAAGTAGGAGTCGGAGCAGCAGGAGTTGGGTATTGTGGCTCAGGACTTTTTGGATGAGTCTAGGGGTTTAGAGAAGATGCTTAAGGGTAAGGGCTGGAGGTTTTCAAGTTTACTGCTTATCACTATAGGGAGTTTAGGGTATGGGGATTCAAGCGCTTAGGGGCTTGGGGTTCATCAGACCATGGAGAGAGATGACGGGGAAATGATGCTTCTTGCCAAGTCTTACAAACTAGGATGGCTCCTAGCCTAACCCGCTGACAAAAATTCCCAAATAAACAAGTAAGGGAAATATGCAAGATCCCAAAGGTCTGCCTAGCAAAGCCGCGGCGCACCGCTTAGGGTTTAGAGTTTAGGGTTTAGGGCAGTTTAGGGTTCAGGATTAAGTGTCCAGAGTTGGGTTTGGGGGGGGGGGGGGGGGGGGGGTAGGATTTAGGGTTTAGGGTCCTTCTCAAGCTTTGATAGTTAGGATGCCCAAGCAAGCGTGAGTCAGCGTCTATGCTGGAGGGCCGAAGCCCCTCACCCCCTCGCAAAACACAAACCTAAGCCCGAAGCGATTTAGGGTTTCTTGTGGCCAGCTGCGACACTCGGAAATTTGGAGAAAACCCATGCCTAGGGTTTAGGGTTTAGGGTTTAGGGTTTAGGGTTTAGGGTTTAGGGTTTAGGGTTTAGGGTTTAGGGTTTAGGGGCGCAGCTTTCTCTGGCAAGGCTCGCCGACGTCGCCCACGCGGTTCGAGCGCAGCGTGATCTGCGCCAAAGAGCCGCAAGCAGCAAAGGCTTCCTTGGCTGGGGAGTTAGGAGTGTAGGGTTAAGGGTTTAGGGTTTAGGGTTTAGGGTTTCGGGTTTAGGGCTTCGGGTTTAGGATCCAAAGCCATAGAACAAAAAGAGAATCTAGGGTTTAGGGTTTAGGATTTAGGATTTAGGGTTTAGACTTTAGTGTTTAGGGTTTAGGGTTTAGGCTGCTAAGGAGTCTTTCCATTTCGGAGTTTCAAGGCGTGTGTAGTTTTGGGGTACATCGGGGCTGTAAGACTAGATGGGTCTTAGGTCCTATGTCTTGAGGCTCCATGTTATGAAGCTTAGTCTTAAGGCTCGGACTACACAGACTTGGTTGCCCAGAAACCATATTATAATAAGGGTACCCTTTTTGGGCTGGATACTTTACAAAAAGTGTAAAGGGAACCACTGGGCTACCAAGGGGAGGTGAGAGTTCATTTAGAGTCCCGGTCTCTAGAAACATTCACCATACCCCTACCCCATGCCTCTTAACCCACACGGAAGGGTAATATCAAGGAGTCTAAGGGAGGATTTTACCAGACCCCTTAAACTCTTTTAAGGGTATGCCCTAGGGGTATGTTAAACCCTCAACCCTAAACCCTAAACCCTTTTATTCTTACACAGTCGACCAAGGCCAATGGCGCTGGCGGAGGTGTCTCGGGGACGTTTCTTAAGCTGTAGAACTGTTTGGGGCAATCCTGCCTTACTTGAGTTTGGAATCCTATCTCCTATTTTTTACATCCCTAAACCACATAAACCCAAGAAGCTTGAACACCACTCCGCCCTGTGTTTACCTGAAACCTCTCTGAGGACCCCTAAACCTTCAACCAGCAACAGCAAACAGCGCCCTACTAACTGATTAAGAACCCCGCCAAAAAAATGTTCTCTTCCTTATTTTCTTATTGAGGGTACCCTAAACCCTAAACCCTAAACCCTTTTATTCTTTTGGGGGTTCTTAAGCAAATAGCAGCTTCTGGACGGGATGCAAAGAGAACTCGGCAGCCTTCATCCGCGACGCCGTTTCCTGGGAAGCACACCCTAAACCCTAAACCCTAAACCCTGAACCCTAAACCCTAAACCCCCTTTTGAAGGTTTAGGAACCCATACCCCTTAACCTATGAATGTATAATATAAAGGGAGTCTAAGGGAGGATTTTACCATACCCCTTAATTTCGTTTAAGGGGGGTTGCCCTGGGGGTATGTTGAACATGTCTTTGAATATAACAGTCTCAAGGGCGTAGGAACTCTAAACCAATTACCAACCATCAGCCTTGGCAATCTATCCCAAAAGCCAAAAGCCTTAGAAAACACCCCACTCAAGCCACAAGGCCCCCATAAACCCCAAAGCCTGAAACAGTGTCTTCTTGTTTGCGCCTCCCGCCTAGCTGACAGATGAATCGGTTGAGGGCTTTGTGGGCCTGAAACCTTCCCCTAAACCCTAAACCCTAAACCCTAAACCCTAAACCTTAAACCCTAAACCCTAAACCCCTGAAACCTTTTTGATGAAACACCGGAAGAATGGCGGACCCAAGCCTGTCCCAAAAAGGGTGGAAGGCATATCCCTCCAAAACCTTCTCTCAAGCAACCCTAAACCCTAAACCCTGAACCCTAACCCCTAAACCCAAGACATCTCTGCAGGGTCCATCAGCCAGTCGCCGGAGGGTTTAGGGTTTAGGGTTTAGGGTTTAGGGTTTAGGGTTTAGGGTTTAGGGTTTAGGGCTTAGGATTTAGGGTTTAGGGTTCACTTACAACTTGGGCCTGCTTTCTTTGAGCACGGGTATTCCCAGGACAGAAAGAAGACCACGCCCAAACTGGACCCTCTCCCCCCCCACCCCACCCCCCACCCTCTAGCTCTGGCAGGGATAGGATGTCTAGGATGGTTTAGGGTTTAGGGTTCTTGCCACTCGCACTAGGAGGTTTAGTTGAAGGATCAAGCTACACAGGATCCTCGGGTCTTGCGTGACGCAGCAAGTGCCGCACGTCGCACGTCTTGACTTGTGGTTTAGGGGTTGGCGATGTTGTTTGGGTTCAGTGCCTAAGCAACAGTAAACCTGATACAAAACACAGTCAACGCTTGTTCCTGAACCGGGGCGCGCCTAAACCCTAAACCCTAAACCCGAAACCCTAAACCCTAAACTGCCTCCCGGAGAGGGCCCCAAAAGCGTAGCTTCTGCAACCTCACCTTTTTAGGGCAGATTCGGGTTCTAGGGTTTGCGGTTTAGGGGTTTGGGGGTTTAGGGTTTAGGGTTTTGGGGTTTAGGGTTTAGGGGTTGCGGGCTGAGGGCTACGAATATTCGGGGGGGGGGGGGATAAACATGGGGAACCCATTGTTTTGCGAAAACTCCTGAATCGTCCAAGTATCCTTCCAGCTCCTCGGGAGTTTTCGGAATTCAGCGTCGCTTGGGGAGGGGTTTAGGGTTTAGGGTTTAGGGTTTCGGGTTTAGGGTTGAGGGTTCAGGCAAAACCTAAATCGCGTAATCAAACCCGAAGCAAAAACCCTGGGTTGACGTCAACATGAGCAGTGGCTAACCGCGGCTAACTGACAGATTGCACTGCGGGGGTTAAGGGTTTAGGGTTTAGGTGGAAGTGTTCCCGAGCATCTTCCCTGGTCTGACGATTCCAGTCACAGAAGCTCCCCCAAAATCCCGCACTCCGAGCCTCCAGTCCTGGGCCCTGGCTGATTTGGTTGATAACTCTAACTTCGGGTGTTGACCTAAACCCTAAACCCTAAACCCTAAACCCTAAACCCTAAACCCTAAACCCTAAACCCTAAACCCTCAGCACTCCCTTGAGCCAGAGCCCGAAACTCTTGGCCCCAAGACTGCTAATTGCTTAAGAACCCCCCCCCCCTGCAAAAAACTATTCTTCCTTATTAAGGGTAGTATAGGGATGATTATTATTGTCGTATTCTTTTGGGGTTCTTAAGCAAAATAGTAGAAGAGGGTTTAGGATTGAAGCCCTCACAGTCGAAACATGAAACTCCCCCAATCAAGGCGCAATGTTCACCAGCAAGTGGCAGGCCTCGCAGAGGCAACGGTTTAGGGTTTAGGGTTTAGGGTTGAGGGTTTAGGGTTTAGGGTTTAGGGTTTAGGGTTTGGGGTTTAGGGTTTAGGGTTTAGGGTTTCCATTTGGGTGTAGACGGTTGAGGGTTCGTGCGGCGTGTCTTGGCACTCCGCAGAAAAATCCTTAAATGGCTTTAGAGTCCAGGCCATCTAGGCTTCCGAAAATCGCACACCTAAACCCTAAACCCTAAACCCTAAACCGCACACTTGACACACTTGCACTGCGATGTAGTTCAGCCCTGGGCACATTCTACAGCTGGCAGCTTTGTCATGAGAGCTTTGCCTGCCTATCAAGGTCAGCAGGTCGACTTTCAAGAGCATTATCGATTGTATCTTGGGATGCTTCCCCTTATACTAACAGTCCTTAATAGGATTGTAGTACTACCTACTACAATCCCTTGTAAGGACTGACTGTGAGTCTAGGGGGCACAACCCTAAACCCTAAACCCTAAACCCTAAATTGTCTCTTTGTTCTACGGCTTTGGATGCACCCCCCAGGGCCCCAGTCGTGGCCCGCCTGCACGGCCAGGGACAAGTCGGCAGCAGCTGCGTCTCCCCAGCCGAGGTCGCAGTAGACCTTTGGAGTTTAGGGAGGGTTTAGGGTTTAGGGTTTAGGGTTTAGGGTTTAGGGTTTAGGGTTTAGGGTTTAGGGTTTAGGGTTTAGGGTTTAGGGTTTAGGGTTTAGGGTTTAGGGTTAGGCACTTTGAGGGGTGGGGACGTACCTAAGCCCCACAAACTCTAGGGTTTAAGGTCTACTTCAGAGGACGAGAAGGCCTAAACCCTCAATTGCCAGGCAAGAACAGGCCGTAAGTTTTGAGAGTTAGGGTTGAACCCTTAAACCTTAAAACAACACAAACCGATCGGGAGCCATTTCCCTTTTTGTGGCTGAAGTCGTATCTGAACAGTCTGGTCAAGACCAGAACCGACTCGCAAAACAAAAGCCCACTTGAGGTCATTCCCTTCTAGCAAGGGGTACGACTATGGGACAGGTACAGGTGTGCAGCTATTGTTCATATAGGCCTATTATAAACCGTATGCCCTGGTAGGTACATAGTATTCCTTAAGAGCGTTTATAGGTTACTCGACCTAAAGCCCCAGCCCTCAAATTCAAGGGGCGGGAGCGATGGGGTTTATAGGGCGGTCCTACAGGGGGTCCTAGAGAACCTTAGGGAAGCGTAGTGGGAGCCCTAAACCCTAAACCCTAAACCCTAAACCCTAAGGAACATTGGGTTACATACCCCCCCTTGACCCCACCCTCCCTTGAGGACCAAGCAAAGAGTATAGCAAGCTCAAACACTAGACCGAAAGGGTGCCATTTTGGATTAGAGGGCCAACCCCAAACCCTCAAAAAACCCTAAACCCTAAACCCTAAACCCTAAACCCTAAAAGGAATAAGGGCCTACTCCGGATCCTAGTCGAAACTTTGCTCGGACTCCTCTGGGTTGCCCACTAGGTTCCTCATGGTGTGCATGGTCTCTTCATAGACCACGGTGTAGGCGTCCTGTCTGGAGTTTCGATCTGCGCCTAATCCGAGCCACCGATGAAGATGACTGGCTCGGTTAAGGGTTTCGGGTTTGGGGTTTAGGGTTCACTGTTGAGCTAAAAACAAGCGACTTGTGGAGCCCACCCCTGACGTTTATGCATCTTCACCAGTAGACCACAATATGTAATGATGTCCCCCGTTCGCCCTTGAGACCCTCTGATCTCAAGCCCAGTACAGGTACAACATGCAGCAGTCTCAGGGCCGCGCGTACTGCACGGCTAGGCCAGGTCAGCCAGATGCCGACCCCGCGATGGGGCTTAGGGTTTAGGGTTTAGGGTTTAGGGTTACTTCATTGCGCAGGAGAACATATTGGAACATCTTAAGGAATCGAACATTGTTCCCTGCCAAGATTCGTCAGAATCATGATCGCAGAAGCCAGCCCTCACCGACCAAACTCCTGTACCCCTTGAGCCGCATACAGCGAAATGATCCTAAACCCTAGACCCTTTTTACGGCTAGGACTGCTGGTTAGACCCTAAACCCTACTGTAAACCCTGTGGAACCTTGACTAAGAGCAGATCCGCTCTAAGACCTAAACCCGTACTCCTGAAGCCCCGCAAAAACGGTCCCGAAGCATCGACAAGTACCCTGAACCCTGAACCCGAAACTCTAAACCCTAAACTCTAAACCCTAAACTCTAAACCCTAAACCCTAAACCCTAAACCCCCAAAAACGCTCCTGAAGCATCTTCAGGTCGCCCGGCACGCTGAACGTCTTCGTCGCCAGCCTATGGCGCGGAGGGTTTGGGACTTGGGGTTTCGGGCTGATCGGACTAGGGTTTAGGGTTTAGGGTTTAGGGTTTAGGGTTTAGGGTGTTGAAGTTTGGGAGTTGGGACGTGGGTCAATGTTACAGACGCAGTCGAAGAAACGAACCCTAAACCCTAAAACCCCGGAACCCCGGAACCCTGGAACCCTAAACCCTAAACCCTAAACCCTAAACCCTAAACCCTAAACCCCAAACCCCAAACCCCGAACCCTAACCCCTTCCCCACCAAGGAACGACAAAATACGGTTTTGCAACTCTCACTCTTACGCACGGCCTTCAAGGTTCGACGGTCTCGCCGGGGGTTCGGGTAAGTTTCTCAGTCGGCCTCCAGCCGCCCGGCAGCTACAGCGTGGCGTTGATGAAGGGTTTAGGGTTTAGGGTTTAGGGTTTAGGGTTTAGGGTTTAGGGTTTAGGGTTTAGGGTTTAGGGTTTAGGGTTTAGGGTTTAGGGCCATCATGGGACAAGGCCTCAACCCTGATTTGGCTTCAAAATCGCTCTGCGCGCTGCGCATATGGGTAGTTCTCATTAGGGTCCTTCTCTTGAGGTATCCTAAATATAGTACGGCACCCAAAAAAACGATCCCCAACAAGGCACCGGAGAATTTAGGGTTTAGGGTTTAGGGTTTAGGGTATCCAAAACCTCACTCTCACATGACACATCTTGCCGGGAGGCAGATCGCAGAACACATTTGGCACTTTCGGAGGCTCCTTGCTTCTGCTCCAGAGCACGGGGGCTTATGGCTTGATGCACTAACCTTGTTAGAGGATTTATGGTTGATGGTCTGCAAAGGGCGTAATGACTTCGGGCAGCATACACAAGGCCATGCCACCACTGCTGCTTAGGGTTTAGGGTTTAGGGTTTAGGGTTTAGGGTTTAGGGTTTAGGGTTTAGGGTTTAGGGTTTAGGGTTTAGGGTTTAGGGTTTAGGGTTTGCACAGGCCGTGATTGAAGTGGCTGACGTGGAAGATTCGTTCTGAAAGGTTTTCGGATTTAGGTTCTGAAGGCCTTGTGGACAAGAAAGCGTAGAAGCCTTTACTGTTACTAAGAATTGGGGGGGGGTTTGGGTTTTGGGATTTGCGCCTCCAGTCGAGATTGGAAAAGTAGACCAAAAGGACCCAGGAATCCTATTGGGATCTCCCGAGCTTGAGCGCCACTGCTCTCATTTATGGGGTTTAGGGTTTAGGGTTTAGGGTTTAGGGGTACCCTTTTTTGGGGGGTTGGCTACTTGATGAAGGGACCTAGAACCGAAAAAGGGGCTGGGCTGCCAAGTCTGAAAGCCCTCAGGAGCTGGACATTTGCGGAGATAACTGGAAGCCACAACCCGGCCTCTCGCCAAAACCACACCCCTCCAGGAAACTCCCCTAAGCCCTAAAGCCAAGCCCTATGCCCGAAACCTTAAGCCCTGAACCCTAAACCCTAAACCCTAACCCTAAACCCTAAACCCTAAACCCTAAACCCTCCTGGTTGGCTTTGAACGCATCCAGGACTTCAGGCCAAGCCATCCTGAGGAGAGATCTGAGAGTGCTAAGCTTTAGCATCAGGGTTTGGGGTTTAGGGTTTAGGGTTTAGGGTTTGGGGGTTTAGGGTTTGGGGTTTTGGTTTGGGGTTTGGGGTTTAGGGTTTGGGGTTTAGGGTTTGGGGTTTTAGGGTTCGGGGTTTAAGGTTCGGGGGTAGGCACCTAAGCAGAAATAGTGGCTTCGCTGGGAAGTTGGAGTGGTCTCAAGCGCAAACTGCGAGTACTCCTGCATCTGTGTGGGGACACAACCTTCGTTAAGGGCCTCACATGTTCACTCGAGCTTCAGACAAGTTACAATAAGGTTACCCTTTTTTGGAGTTGGGTACTTTATGATTGAATTTTGGACCCAAAAAAGAGTACTACTTAACTGAAAAAACACCCCCTCACCGAATCCGAAGCTGAATCAGTTGAAGGCTTCATTCCGGGTTTAGTAGGGTTTAGGGTTCCTATCAAGGTCCATGAGTGCTTATACGACAGGTGACATGTGCAGGGCAGAAGTTGACGTAACCTATCGTAATCCGAAATTGAAGTACATAGACACCTGCATACAAGTGCCCACGAATCTTCACGTACACCCTGAACCCTGACCCCTGCACCCTAAACCCAAAACCCCAAAACCTAAACCCTATACCCTCTTCCCTAAACCCTCTCCCCTAAACCCTAAACCCTAAACCCTAAACCCTAAACCCTAAACCCTAAACCCTAAACCCTAACCATAAACCCTAAACCCTGAACCCCCAAATCGGACATCCCAGACGCTTCTCCGGCCGCAGCAGCTGCTCCAGCGCTTCCTCGTCGATGAGCAGGATGGACTGGCCGGCACCGCCCTGGCAGCTCATGAGTCCTTCAACCTCTACCTTTTAGGGTCTAGGGTTTAGGGTTTAGGGTTTACAGTTTAGGGTTTAGGGCTACTTGGAAGCCCTTGTCCTTCAACCCTCCTCTTGAATCAAGGGATGAAGACTCGGACCCCTAAGGTTGTACCCCTGAAGGCTCCCCTTAATACACTCCTAATATGGCCCTCATACTTATTGGCACAAAACCCAAGGAAATAAAAGTTCAAACTTTCAGAACAAGCTACCCTTATAATCTTATAAGAAGCCCAAAAGTTGAAAAGCTGGGCTTTGAGCCAGTAAGTATATTCCCTAAGGGATCTTTAAACGGGGTCTTTAAACCCTAAGGGTACAACCTTAAGGGTCCGAGGTAGAACCCCTAGATAGACTGGCCTTGACAACCCCAAACCCCATAAATCCTGAATCCTTTTTGCATCCAGGTCCCGGGCATCACCAGATTTACTGAAGAGGCGAAACTCGTGTTCACCCCTCAAAGAATAGACTGAACAACCCTGAAACCCTCAACCCCAAGCCCCTATAAACGACCCCTTGCGACTCTTACCTGAAGGCGCCATGGAGGATTCGTTGGGTTTTTTTTCAACCTGCCCCCTAGGCTCCCTGAACCCTAAACCCTAAACCGTAAAGCTTAGGCTGGCCTTGAAGCCCTAAACCCTACTGAGACCTCTCATTAAGTTCGAAGCCTACCTGAAGGGGCGCCATGGGGGATTTGTTGGGTTTAGGGTTTAGGGTTTAGGGTTTGGGGTTTAGGGTTTAGCGTTTTTGGTTTTAGGGTCGCTGCCGCAATCTGTGGTTTTGGGCCTTGATAAACCCTCCAGGGTTTAAAACAAACCGCCAGCCGCCTCACAGGCCAGCAACTCGGCCACGTTTCCTGGGATGTGCGGGCGTGGCTTCTTTAAGAAGAAGGGTTTAGGGTTTCGGGTTTATGGCTGGGCCTAGAACTTACTGGCCCAAAACCCAAGGCAGTAGAAGTTTAAACTTTCAGAATAAACTACCTTAGAAGAAGCCCAAAAGTTGAAAAGTTGGGTTTTGAGCCAGTAAGAGAAAGAAAAAAGGGGAAGCAGCATAGTCTTCGCATCATAGAAGCTCTTGTAGCCAGCCGACACCCCAAAGTAGCATCCCTCATGGAAGGGTTGCTCCTGAATTTAGCTCGGATTGTCAATACCTGCTCCCTGATCCTGATCTACTTGGTTTCTAGGGGACACCAAGTACGGCCCAGGAGTGTGTTAAGAGATTTTATTAATTAAGAAATCTGGACCTGGACCGGCCACACATTTTAAAATCCAGGGCCTCGCGGGCTCGCCCCAAAAAATTCCGCGGCCTGACTTGTTAAGTTGCGGGGACAACCCTAAGCCCCAAACCCGGAAAGGCCCACAAAAGGTGACTTTTTGTGCCGGGCTCTTGCGGGGAAGAGGCCCGGCACAAAAAGTCACCTTTTTTGAGGTGCTTGGGGCCGGAAAGGCCCAAACAAGGTGACTTTTTGTGCCGGGCTCTTGTGGGGAAGAGGCCCGGCACAAAAAGTCACCTTTTTGAGGTGTTTCAGGCCGGAAAGGCCCAAAAAAGGTGACTTTTTGTGCCGGGCTCTTGCGGGGAAGAGGCCCGGCACAAAAAGTCACCTTTTTTGAGGTGTTTGAGGCCGGAAGGTGACTTTTTGTGCCGGGCTCATGCGGGGAAGAGGCCCGGCACAAAAAGTCACCTTTTTTGAGGTGTTTCAGGCCGGAAAGGCCCAAAAAAGGTGACTTTTTGTGCCGGGCTCTTGCGGGGAAGAGGCCCAAACAAAAAGTCACCTTTTTTGAGGTGTTTCAGGCTTTTTGTGCCGGGCTCTTGCGGGGAAGGGCCAGGGCTCAGGGCTTTTTTGAGGTGCTTGAACTGACTTTTTGTGCCGGGCTCTTGCGGGGAAGAGGCCCGGCACAAAAAGTCACCTTTTTTGAGGTGTTTCAGGCCGGAAAGGCCCAAAAAAGGTGACTTTTTGTGCCGGGCTCTTGCGGGGAAGAGGCCCGGCACAAAAAGTCACCTTTTTTGAGGTGCTTCAGGCCGGAAAGGCCCAAAAAAGGTGACTTTTTGTGCCGGGCTCTTGCGGGGAAGCCTTTAAGGGCTCAGGGCTCAGGGCTATCAACCCTCGAATAAGAAATATATTTCAGGGTCTGGTTCAAACCTAACTTTCTTATTTCCATTTGGGGTTTTAAGAAATTTCGAAACCCTGGCTGAAAAAGGCAGATTTCTTATTAGAAGCCTCAGCCGTAGACTTTCTAAGTCAAAACCTTCTAAGTAGAACGATTTACTGTACAAGGAACCCTGAGAGCCCAAGGCCCATTTCTTGTTAAGAATATACCTTCAACTATATAGGGATCCTGAATATGATTTAAGGTCTATTCCTCAATTAAGGGTATGGGAGAGATCTTCGAGGTGTGTTCTCACAGTGGGCAGGGCGCGCTCGAAGTTCGGCCAGCCGCGCACATCCTGAGTGCAGCGCTCTGCGTGAGCAGACGGTTGCCCTGAAAACCGTAAGGACTCAGTCCAAATGAAGGGCGCTGTTGAACCCTAAACCCGACGCCCTGAACCCTCAACCGCAATATACTGTTGACCTACAAGTTGAAGTTAAGTGATGACGAAGGCCGGCCACAACCCCCGACAGAGTTTTGATTCTCCAAACCCTAAACCCTAAACCCTAAACCCTAAACCCTAAACCCTAAACCTTAAACCATAACCCTAAAGCCTAAGCTTTCTCCTCCCCCAAGGCTCTTGGGAAGTCAAGTGGCATAGGGAAGCACCGGGAGGTCCTCTGTTGCTGTCACAGCCAGGTCTTCAGGCAGAGTACCTTCGTCGCGGAAGTGCGAAGATCTGTGACTGGAGTCTATGGATGGGTCTGCAGGGTTTGGGTTTCGGGTTTAGGGTTTAGGGGTTTAGGGGTTTAGGGGTTTAGGGGTTTAGGGGTTTAGGGGTTTAGGAGTTCGGGTTTAAAATGGCTCGCTGGTGCTGCAAGCACCCGGGCCGCTCGCCCTGCGCCGCCCTACCCCCCTGCTAGGGTTCTACCCCCAAACCCCCCTACGAAGGGTTTAGGGTTTAGGGTTTTAGGGTTTAGGGTTTAGGGTTTAGGGTTTAGGGCAGAAGGCGACGCCCACGAACGATGGTGAGCGACTTGGGGTACTATCATATTTTGTCAGTTCTCGAAACTCTGGTCCCTTTTGGGTACCGCCTTATAAAAAGGAGCCTGCAAGGGACCGTGTTCTACAGAAGTGACCATATACTACTATTTGCTTAAGAACCCCCCAAAAATATAAATAATCATCCCTATATTGCCCTTTTTCTGGAAGAATAGATTTTATTGTTTAGGGTTTAGGGCTAAGCAATATAGTAGTATAACTAGGGAGGCTTTACCCTCCCTGGCCTGCGGGTTCGTTCTGCGACCCTTTTCTTGCAGCAGGCCTCCTCACATGCGATCCTTTTCCCTAAACCCTAAACCCTAAACCCTAAACCCTTAGCCCTCAACCCTTAGCCCAGGCAGTTGTTGCAAGAGTTGCGGGTGCAGTGTCGGCAAGAAGAAGGCAATCGGTATCGGAGAACCTCTGAGCCCTGACCCCGAAAAGTTCACCCTAAATCATAAATCCTCACCCTAAACCCTAAAAGCACTCCACAAAAGGACGGCCAGGTACAAGTTTCGGGCGTCACGGTGAGCACCCACACCTGTTGCGGCACTGGCGGCCCTAACCCTTAACCCCTAAAGGGGTGTAGGGTTGAGGGTTTAGGATTTAGGATTTAGGGTTTAGAAGACCCAAGACCTACAACTCACTGGCTCAGCAACCCCACAGAGAGCAAGGTTGATACCCTAGGGTCTCTGAACCCTCTCCCTCGCTACATCCGAAACCCTAAACCCCAAATCCAAACCCCTAAGCCCTAAACCCTGAACCCTAAACCCTAAACCTCAAGTCTTTGAGTTTGTTGGGTGTTAAAGTACCCAAACAGTTTCAAACGGGTACCTACTCAGCAGCAAATTCAAGGATCCGAATTTGCTGGCCTCCTTAGTCGATTCACCCTAAACCCTAAACCCTAAACCCTAAACCCTAAACCCTAAACCCTAAACCCTAAACCCTAAGCCTCGTCGATTCCAGAGGATTCGCAGAGACTTTGGATCCCTAATCCGATGCCTGGCCTTTGGGTTTAGGGGCTCAGGGTTTAGGGCTTATAGGGTATATAGGGTGTATAGGGTATGTTTCGGGTATAGTGGCTCGTTTCGGTGTTTCAGGGAGTGCTCCAGGACAAGACAGAACACGAGCTGGCAGGCACAAACCTTTCTGCGAGATTTTGCAGCGGGGTGAACCTGCACCTGAAGCTGCTCAGATAAACCCTAAACCTAAACTCAAAACCCTAAACTCAGAACCCTAAACCCTAAACCCTAAACTCAAAACCCTAAACCTAAACGCGAGACCTAAACCCAAAATCATGCCCAGCAAGGCCATGTACATCCATCAACCTGAGCCACCCCGGGCAGGCACATGCCTTGAAAAGTTGCCCAGAATAACAAATGTGTGCCCATACCGGAACGGCCATCTACTGTACCCAAGAAGTAATGACATTCCACTTAAACCCTAAACCCTAAACCCAGTAGTATCTATAGGACAACCGGCCTGGGTCTTCTTGTGCGCAAAGAAGATGGGCACATGATGCAGGCTATCTGCAAAGACCTTAGCTTATTCGGGCTTAGGGTTTAGGGTTTAGGGTTAGGGTTTAGGGTTTAGGGTTTAGGAGGCTTCGCCACTCCTACACGTTAAAGACATGGCATCAGCTCTAGCAACTGCTGCATCCCCTCACCCACCACCATCCCACATCCCACATGCGCCAAAGAGGCACTGAAGCACCTCGTGCTTAATTAGGCCTAGGGGTTTCGAAATATGGCTTAATATAGGGGGCCTTAATAGTTAGAATACGGTTTGGGGGGGTCTTATGGTATAATTACAAAAGGACCTTGAGGGAATACTAGAAGTAGTTATTCCGGCCCCTATGGTATTGGCGCTTCTGGCTCTGTGCTGATACGTAAATTACCCAGAATTACGGCCCTTTGCCCCATCGGACGAATGAGGAATCATAACCACGTAGTAAAAAACCACAGAAATCTGCAGTTCAGCCACTTCCTCTTCGCTTTCCGTGCGCGGCTCCTTGCGCAGATGAATTGAGGGACTTGACCTTCGTGGTAGACCGGTAACCATACTGTGATAAGGGCACCCTTTCTTGGGTTGGTTATTTTATAAGGGAACCCAGAACCCCCCCCAAAAAAAGGGGAAGGGTATCCACTGGGCTCCCAAGACTTTGGGACTACATGAACCCTGAAAGGGTGTGTGGTCTAGGGTTTTTGTTGTCGCACGGGGCATATGATCCTCAACCAGTAGGACGCGGTGCTGTCCCAGATTCAGGCTTAACTTGGTCGTTGAGGTGAAGGGCTTCGCAGACGCCTTGAAGAGTTTGCACCCTAAACCCTAAACCCTAAACCCTTGAAGTCATAGCTGGTCTGACTGCACGGCAAGGTTAGGTTTTAGGGGTTTAGGGTTTGGGAGCATGGACCCGTGATGGACAAACTCCAAATTACATGGATCGGTCTTTGCCGGCAGTTTAGGGTTTAGGGTTTAGGGTTTAGGGTTCGGGTACAGGGTATAGGGCCAGACTGTGCGCACAAACCCTAAACCCTAAACCCGATGCTTTCTCGGACCTGAAAGTTGGGTGGGGGTTCTGCTAAACCAGCTACAGCTGCTGATGAATCACGCCATGGCTGGGTTAAGTTCTTAAATGGGTTTAGGGTTGGGGTTTCTTTCTACAGGGGTGCAAACCTGGTCTTGGCCAGCACGACCTACTGTAGCTGGAGCGGCTTCAACTTTATCAACCGAACCCTAAACCCTAAACCCTAAACCCTAGACACTAAACCCTAAACCCTAAACCCTAAACCCTAAACCCTAAACCCTAAACTCGAATAAATCGGTACAAGCCTTGAGGTGACCCTGCCCGCACCGCAGCAGTCCTGAAAGAGGCTGCAGTAGTCCAAGAAGATGGCGAGATCAACACCAGCACCTCGTGACATCCATTTAGGGTTTACGGTTTGGGGTTTAGTGCTTAGGGTTTCTCAAACTTTTGAGCGTCAACATCCACCCTAAACCATCCACCCTAAACTCTAGATACCTAACACACCACTTCAAGCGCAGCTATGAACTTCTCGCGTTCGGCATCCCAAAGCCTAAACCCTAAACTCCCTAAACCCCCAACCAGCATGGGCCATTGGGCCTTATAATCCCCCTGACCAACCCTCTAAAGAGCCTTTGAAGGGGTTATAGGGTATAATTGCCCGTTCTGATGAGCCAACTCCTGCTTCTGAAGGCAGCGCGAGAAGAAGCGAAGGAGCCTACTGCGCCACGAAGCAGCCCAACCCCTCAAAACCCTAACCCCAAACCCCAGACCCTCAACCCTCAACCCTCAACCCCAAACCCTAAACCCGAAACCCCAAACCCTAAACCCCAAACCCCAAACCCCAAACCCTAAACCCTAAACCCTCAACTCGACTGCACAGCCCAGGCACCCAGCTCCTCCAGGCAGCTGCCGGCCAGGGCGCCCGCAGCCGCCAGCTGAGATCCCTGAGGATCCTGGGTATGTTTGCTCGGCCCGAAACCCGTTTAGGGTTTAGGGTTTAGGGTTTAGGGTTTAGGGTTTAGGGATATTCGAATAAGGGTATATATATATATATATATATTTTTTTTTTTTTTTTTTTTTTCTTTTTGGGGGGGGTGGGTTACTTTATAAGGGAAGCTTGAACCACAAAAGGTGCGAAAAGGGTACCACTGGGCTTCCAAGTTCTGGGGAGGGGGAGGAGATTGGGGTTTAGGCTTCAATGGCTTAGCGTCTACAATGGTCTAGGACTGGTGTCGTACCTCCCTTTATCAGGGGTTTAGGGTTTCGTCTAAGATTCGGATCCTTCGTGCGAAGTGCGAAGTTGCCTAAACACGCCTCAGCCGTGCAACAAGCCCCAAAACTTTTCCGACCTAGGTGCTCTCTACTCCTTTTTGATGACGTGCACTCAGGACCTCTTGTTTGCCATTCCCCCCCCCCCTCCTCGCAAGCTTCGCGAACTATGTCTTCTGCGCGGCTGTCACGCAATGGTGCTTAAAGGATCAGGGACTTAGTACGTGGGATTAGAAGTAAGGTAGCTATACTTCCAATTACTGAAAACCGCAATTAAAGTACTTCTACCCCCAAAAACCTCATTAACTGACACTTGGCATACCCAGTCTGTCCCTTGAAATCCGACATTGAAATTCCAACCAGCAGAAACCCCTTTCCTAGGCTGCCCAGTAACCTAGAACAAAAAGGGGTGCCCCTGTTTGTCTTGAAAGGGGTGTAGAGGGGAATCTAAACCCCCAAAAAGGAACTACTCACCCTAGCCCTGAGCCCTAAGCCCTAAGCCCTAAGCCCTAAACCCTAAACCGTAGAACCCAGACCGACTGCAACTCCCTGAATCTTCAGCAAAGGAAGAGAAAGTCGTGCTGTTGGCCCAGTGAGGATCTGGGTGCTCACAACGCAGCCTGCGGTGGCTTGGGGGGCCGGGTTTAGGGTTTGGGGTTTAGGGTTTGGGGTCTTGGGCTTAGGGTTTAGGGCTTGTTGCAAATCCACAGGAGAATTGGGAGTTCGGGCTGCATGCACTAGGTCTCTGCAAGTTAGGCAACGCTAATCCCTCAACCCTCGGGTACCTTAAGTTTAGGCCCTAACCCTAAACCCTAATCCCTAAACCCTAAACCCGAAACTCTAAACCCTAAACCCTAACCCCATCTTCCTCACTTTAACCGGACCGCAGTGTTCGGGGGTTTTAGGAGCTTTGGGCTGTGGGGTGCCCGAGCAAGAGCTCTACAAATGGTGGTGGCTTTGAGAAGTGCCAGCAGGGTAGGGATTAGGGTGTGTTGGGCGGGTTTAGGGTTTTTTTTTGGCACCCGCTTAGCTGACCTCTCGGACACTCTGCAGGGAAATTGAAGGGTTTAGGGTTTAGGGCTTGGGGTGGAGGGTTCTGGGGCTTATTATATTTGGAAATACAGTCGGGGGTGAAGAGGGTTTGGGGGTATAGTTTAGTGGCTAGCCAGGGTCTCGGGGGTGAGCGAGCCAGTATGGCATTATGACCGCCGCACCCCCGGATGTAGGGTTCCCAGGTGAAGGGCAAAGGCAACAAACGTCAACCGTGGGGAGCTTTTTGGAGGTTCCCCCAAACCCTAAACCCTAAACCTACCTGCTGACCTCCTCTGAACGGGAAACGCTTGGCCGGACCAAATGGAAGAAATACGTGCCGAAGGCCAGAATCAGACCGGAGCGGTTTGCTCAAATGTGCTATAGAGATGTATGTAGGTGATGGTCTGAATTATGTATACTGTCTATATGATGCACTGTACATGTACGCATTGCACACTTCACCAACTCCCATGTGCATTCCAAGTTGCCAGGAGTACCTTAATTCAACGGCTGAGTGTGCCAGAGTGGGCCCTGCTACTAGTTGCTTAAGACCCCCCCCCCCCCCCCCCCCCCCCAAAAAAAAAAACTTCCTTATAAGGGCAAAATAGGGATTGCTTTACAATATGTTCTTATTGTTTTGGGGGTTCTTAAGCAAATAGTAGCCTAGATTGCACCTTTCACACTTCCCGTCTTTGAGTGAAAGCAGCGTTCGAAAAAGGAGGGACAAAACCCTAAGCCCTATGCCTAAGCCCTGAGCCCTAAACCCTAAACCCTAAACACTAAACCCTTGCTTCTGGAGCACGAGATGGCTACCACCCTCGTGGCCAGTTGGTGTCGGCCTTTGTCATACTCCTGGCTGGTGGGTTTAGGGTTTAGGGTTTAGGGTTTAGGATTTAAGGTTTAGGGCTGTGGCTCTAGGGGGATCTTGAGGTTTATGGTTGGGGGAACGGGGTTTGGCTAACGCATGGGTGGCTTAATGTAGGGTTTACGGCTTATGGGTTTCGGGTTTCGGGTTTAGGGTTTCGGGTTTCGGGTTCGGGTTTCGGGTACTTCATGCTCCCCAAAGTCCAAAGGTGCCAACTGCAAAGGGTTCAGTAGGCTGCCTGCTTCGCCTCTCACTCACGAACTCGCGGCTGCAGTGAGAGACTTGGAAATCAGTGTTTTGGGTTTAGGGCTTTGACAAGGGTTTAGGGGCCAAGGGTTTATTGTTTAGGGTTCATTGTGGGTCTACCCATCTCATGTCTGAACATGTCTCTGCAGCTCCCTTGTGTTTCGAAACAACCCTAAACCCTAAACCGTTGCACCTTGCTGCTAGGCACTCAGTGGCCCGAACATCTACTTAAAGGATCAGGGGACTTAGTAAGTGGGATTAAAAGTAAGGCAACTATACTTATAGTTACCCTATAACCCCAAAATTGAGGTACTTATTTCCCTACTTCCTGGGCGAGGTTTCAGTGCAAAAGCCCCAGAAACCTCAACCAGGGAGTTTTAAGGATGTGCGGGTAGGTAGGGTGATTCACTCCTCTTTCTTCTCGTGCTTGGGGGCGTTTGTGCAAACAAAAAACTCTGCTCTAAACCCTAAACCCTAAACCCTAAACCCTAAACCCTAAACCCTATTCCACATCACAGAGCTCCTCGGCATCTCTTTCCAGCTCGACGGCGTCCTCGGCTTGAAAACGGACGGGGAGAAAAGCAGGGCGAAACGGCACAGCGCGTAGCCACTGAGGGCTCCCTAAACCCTAGCCCTAAACCCTAAACCTTCCCTAAACCCTAAACCCTAAACACGAGACCCGAGACCCTAAACCCGGACCTGACGTACGAGGTCAGCGCCACGAAATCATGGATGTCCGTTCACCGAGCCT